GGAGAAATAATGAAAGAGAAAATTAAAAGAGAGGAGATTGAAAAAATATCAACCTAAAATTATATCAATGATGTAATTATAAACATATATAAACAATTAATCCAGCAACATTGAATGGAAGAAAAAGAGGAGGCAATAGCCGGAGGAGAAGAAAAAGAAGAAGAAGAAGAATAAGAAGGAAGACAAGAAGAAATAAGCCGGGTAGAGTTGTGGGGGTATATATATGGCAACTTACCCATGTATAGTTAGTCGGTATTACTTTCACCGACAAAGATCACATGGGTAAGTGACTGAGAGCGGGAACCAAAATTTTTGCAATCTGCGCCCAAATTACCAACCAGCTTCCTATTGTTATGTTTTTAGTGACTTTACCGACAAGATACAAGTTGGAAACTGCGACTTTACCGACAAGATACAAGTTGGAAAGTGATTTTACTAACTAGGAGTACGTTTCTAGTATGGCCGGTAACAATTCAGCAGCTTCCTTTCCAGATTTCGTCCATTTTGCCTAAGTTCCTTTCCAAATTTCGTTTTCATGCCATTTTCTGAATTTTCGTAACATATTTCTTAAATGTTAGTGGACATAAAATTTTAAAAAAATTATCAAAATTCCCCCGTATATATGATAAAAGGTATTTTTTTTATAAAATTTGCATTTGCAATACTACAATTTTGTGATAAAAAATGCAATAATTTGAAATTCATTCAATAGATTTTTTGTAATTTGGTCATTTTAGTTGGTATAAATTCTAAAAAAAATTTGACAGAGTTTCCCTATACATATGATCAAAGCCAATTTTTTTACCTGCATTTGCAATGAAAAACACATATATTCTACAAGTCTAGTATGCTAAAAACAATTATACCTTTTCAACCACAACTACAACCACAAAGTATATATGGCAATCACACACCATTGTTTTAAATACCCACGATATTTAGTTAACAATAATTAATCTCCAAAGCAGTCCAAAACTTCATACCTTTTGAAGTATGATCACTAAAGGTCAAGCAAAATAAGAAAATATATCGTAATAAGAAAATATATCGTACTAATAGAAATAAAGTCAACCATTCAAAGTATGCAGATAATGTGCGTAGCAAAAAAATAAAAAAACTAAGGACCCTGATAGTTTGGATCAAAAGTAGGATGGTATGCATCATCATCTTGAGGCGGAAACTGCCGCTGCTGCTGATATTCAGGGACCATAGAAGAGGTTTGTGTAAAATCAGTGGAGTAGGTGAAAGCTGAATTCATGCGAAGACCTGAGCCAAGACCATGTGATGGCTGTGGTGGGGCAACTGGATGATGACCTACCTGAGGGGAGATGCCATGAGCGGCTAGAGCTGCTGCAACAGACTGTGCGATTGTCTGGCTTATACTATTTTGAGCTTCTGTCATATTGGCCAGCTGCTGTTGCAACAAAGCAATTTGTTGGCGTTGTCTTTCTAACTCCTCATGATCTTTTGCCTGTGTCTCCTCATAGTCAGACGCCATCAGTGCAGCTATTAAGTTTTCTCGGGGTTGTTTCTTCTTGTAAGTAAAACCAACCATCTCTGGATTTACTTGGGAGCCAATCCTTGGCATGAAATTAGATGAGCAACCTCTATCAACTTTAACCCATGCCTCACATTAGAGCTATGACTATCTGTGCACTCCGCAACATAAGTATCCTGAAAAAATAATAGTAGTAGTAATAATGTTGTCAAAAGTAGTTTGAAAAGAATTTATAAAAAAAAGTAGACTTTGCTAAATAATTTAGATTAATTACATAAATTTTTTTCACACTTATAACTATACATTTTATGCTAATTTATATGTTATATATACTTACATATCGATACTTTGCTTTTTCATTGATCCATGCTGGCTCTTGATCCTTTCCCGCCTTTTTTCTGAAGGTGTGCATCTCCTTGAATTTCTCCTGATGAAGAGGTTGCACACCACCTCTAGACTCAGTCTATATTTCACAATATTGGTAATCCAATATATTGGTTAGTATAAATTGACACAATTTATTATTAAATAAAATCTAATATATTAAATTTTTTATTAATTAAGCTTGATTACCATCCACATCTCATGGATGCCAAAGCTAATGGACCCAACGGTGTGAGTCACGTTTTCCCCAGAGCTCCTATTCTTTGCTCCCCTTGCACTGAGCCTCTTATATTCATTAGAGTCCCAATATGTCAGCAGCTGAAGCCATATATGAGTTGGGATCCAACATGGGACATAGGCTGAGTTCTTGTCCCATTTCAACTTCTCATCCTTGAGATTGTCACTCCATCTATGTTTCATACAATTTAGGAATGCATCTCGCACATGGCGATTATCTACAGGATCCCACTGATAAAGTGTCTGCAAAATAAGAAATAAATAACATTAGATATCTGAGAAATGTAAAATCTAGTTTAGTAATGAAATTATTTATTTTTATTAGAAATTGTTAAATCCATTCATTTTATTAAATTTTCTAAAACTTAATCTTACCTTGAAACAACTATAAATTTCAGCAATCTTGCTTTGGGGGACACGCTCGTATGTGAAATACGAGCCATCAAAATGTGACTTCCATAGTGAAGTGATAGCCCGATGGATGTTTGGATCAGCAAACTAGAGCTTTTCATCAGTGAGTTTAACCCATTTCCTGCTCTCTCTATTTTCTGGAGGGCGTATTCCTTTGAAATTCCTGCTCCGTCCTTTTTTCCCCATCGAGGATGAAGGGCCCTCGTTCTCATGATCAGGTGCAAAATTATAATTCATTAATGGATCAATCGTTTGCTGTATATTCGGAGCTACGCTACTATCAGTAAACAATTGTGGGTGATTAAAATTGTGTTGCTCTTGTGATCCTGAGGAGGAAGATCTCCTCCTTGTTGAACCTGCAGGATTTAAAAATGAATAACAAAATAGTTATTAATACATTTATACAAATAATAAGTAACAAATTTAGAACAATCATACAATGATTCTATTTTAAATGAAAAATATATAACTTGATAAAACAATATATGTAAGACAAAGAAATTTTAATATATATATTTAATAAGTAATAATACAAATGTTTCAATTAATCATCACTATCATCGCTATCATCACCATCTTTAACATTATCACTATTTCCTGAGGATTCTGAATCTTTTTCTTCTCCATAGTCCTCCTCTTCTTCAGATGTATTAGGATCAACCTCAACTTCTGTAACACCTTCTGCACATAGTTGAAGTGATTGGTATGTAGTTAAATCTATAGCTAATGAAGAGCCTTGCATAATGGAGGGGTCATCATCTTGAAAAATATCATCAACCTCTCTTGAAGATGAGGTAGATGAGGTCTCAATTAGATGTCTAGACTTGGTTTTATATGCTGCCAACCATCCCCGGGTAGTTCTATCCGTGGCTGCCGGATATGGAGTATAATAAACTTGTTGTGCTTGACTAGCAAGACAAAATGGCTCCCCCCGTTGAAAGTTTAAACCTTGGATTGACATCAACAATTCCATGTTCAACATTGACACGTATTTCTCGGTTCGTGTCATACCAATCACAATTAAACAATATTATAGTCTCTTGATGGCCTGAGTGTCCATAATACAATAGCTCGATCACCTCTTTTAAGACACCATAATAATCAGTATCTGTAGAATTAATGGTGGTTTCTTTAACACAAACACCACAGTTATATGTCTTTCTAGTACTAGTAAACTCTTTAGTCAAAAATTTAAAGCCGTTCACATAGAACCCATTATAAACATTCACTTCAAAGATCGGGGCAACTGCAAGGTGGACAAGTTGTTCATTGATTTCATATTATCCACTAAACACCTACATTTGACAAAAAAAATTAATTTAGTAATATTTAATATTTAATTAAAAATTTGAGAAAATAATATATAACAATTCATTACCATATTTTTAAACCATTGAACAAAATTATTTATTCGCAATCTTTGTAGTTGTTCATGTGACAAATTTGCACCAACTTCTTCCTCAAATTTACTGTAAAATAACATTTATTTATTAATTAAAACGTTATGAAAATCATATAGGCTATTAAACATCGTGTAGTTCTTATTTTCCTAAGAAGTAAAACTTACGTTACCCAAACATCAACCTCCTTGCAATTTAGCAAGACATATAGTTCAGTTGCATCTTTCTCCTCCAATGTTAAACACGTGTACGTGAGTGGGCCCCTATTGATTCACCAAGGGAACAAAATACAGATAACTTACTTGGGACGTTGGTTCCAATGCCACCATAGTTCCTTGGAGGCTGATTCCAGCTTATCTCAACATCATCCCCAAAATAACGAAAGCAAAAGTGGGATATCTCGTATAATATAAATGCCTCAACAATTGATGCCTCGATATGATTTTTATTCCTTATGGTACTCTTAAGTTTGCGCATGCGCCTGAAAAGAAATACTGATAAGATTAATTTACAAAAAAGTAATCAAAAGTAAGTTTTAAAATTATCAATCAATTTTTTTGTATATTTTACCTTTCAAATGGGTACATCTAACGAAATTGAATAGGACCACCAACTTTGGCCTCATATGGAAGATGAATTGTTAGATGTTCCATAGAATCAAAGAATGTTGGGGGGAATTGTCATGCCCCAAAACCCGAATTCGAGGTGCGACAGACGCCGTGCACTCGTGAGAGGGTCCCACAAACGCACAAGGCTCGAAACTTATCCAATTCATATCTGACAATCCAATAACTTAAATCAGATATCTCAATTTATTTCTATATCCAAAATGACTTAAATCCAAGTAATTGATCTAATGACCGAAATCTATTTTGATCTCATAAATTCAAAGTAAAATCTATCTTACAAAAGCATGATTTATTTCTAAAACCTATATCAATCTCGAAATGGCTAGCCTTCTAACTTGTCACTTCTCGTGGTTTCCCCGTCCTCGGTTTCGCTTTCTGAAATGGTGGACAAGGAAAAACTATGAGATAAACTTAGTAAGTAAAATATGGAGTGCCCCTTATTAAACTTATAGCATGCCAACAACTGCAATCACAAAAAACGGATACAGTACGGGAACAAAATAGACGTCTCCTCTATAGGTCATGGCCAGTGTTATAAACCTCCCACTGGTAGGCTACACTATTTGCTAGTGTATAATCCCCACTAGTAGGGTCACTCGTACGAACCGGTTCTATTACTAACAGCTCAACAAGTGCTAGCGTTTAACCCCCACTAGTAGGGTCACTAATAACATGACCACATCGGAGACAAAACAAGCAGAAGTTAATAGAAAAATCATAATTCACCAATCACTTTCAAATCATCAGGACAATCAATTAAATTTCAAGTAGGCATGCTCAATTTAATGAAAAGCATAAAAATTTCACTTCAAATCAGTCATACTTACTTTTGTATAAAACGGGTTTAGTCCCGCCACCACTTCAAAAACAAGTCAAAACATGCTTTTAAAAACTGTACGGCATTACCATAAATTTACTTACCTCACTCGCATAAAACCAAAGACTCAATCTCAGTGCTAAACTGCCTAAACGATCAAGAACCTAATCAAAATATTCAAGAATTAATTATCGTACCACGAATTCAAAAGTAAAATCACCATGACTAGCCCTTAATCACAATGCTATTTCTATCAATTTCCACATGACCAGACATCTCCAAATTTGTTCTTATATTACAAACTAAACATTTAAATCCCCGTTAATTGTTGGCCATTAGTGCGTGAACAGTGCTCGTGAACAGTACCCATAAACAGTAATTGCAACTTCCAAAATTGGCAAAACAATAACTAATCACGGGGTTTTCTCCAAAAATCAAAGCAACCAAAATAAGCTAATTTCCTACATGAATTAAACTTAATTATGCTCTAATTGCTACCGGAATTCATCCCCATTTTTTTTCAACAGATTTTCGGACAATGCAAGGGCAGCCACTACATGGATAAATTCAACAATTAAAGGGGTAAATTGGGACTTAGATGGGGCTGCCACTTACCAGAATTTCAACCAGCAGAACCGGACCTGGCAGGGGGAGAAGCCGGTGGCAATTTGTAGGGGAACTCACGGAATTAACCCAAAATTGGAGAACCAAGAGAAATTAAGGTAAACCCAAGCCAATTAAAGCTGGAGAAGGGAGATTCATGGCTGTTCTTACTGAAAAATATGCCCAGAAATCACACATAGCAGAAGCCAACGGACAGCAAGGGGAAAGGAAACAGTGCAGATGTGGAAAATTCTGGGTTTGGGAGAGTGTCCTAAGTCCTAAATCTTGTCCTTGAACAAGAAAAGAAGGGAAAATCTCAAGCTTCTTACCAGTTTCTCTCAAGTGGAGGTGCATCGGGGCTGGGCTCTTGTTCGGCTGCAGGGGGACGGGAAAGAAGAAGAGAAACACGCAGCTGAAGAAAGAAAGACGGAAGAAAAAATCACCCGGTCCTTATCCAATTATTTTCTCTTTTAAGTCCCTCACTTTTGAAATATTCACTATTAGGCCCAACGATATTATTTTTTTCACAATTAAGCCCCAAACTAAATGCTAAAATATCACAAAATTTTGGGATATTACAAGAATATTATTTCTAACTTACAAATTATTTCAACAATCTTTGCCTCCCACTTTTGCATCTCAGTAACTTTAATAACCGAGGAACAAAGTGAACGAAAGAAGTTACTAATGTCGGTCAAAAGACCCCAAATAGCAGATGGCAATAAATCATGAAAAGCAACTGGAATTAGTTGTTGCATGAAAACATGACAATCATGACTTTTCATCCCAAATAACCTGGACTCATTCAAGTTGACACATCTTGATATGTTGGAAGCAAACCCATCTGGAAAGTGCAACTGTTTTAGCCATGCACATAGAAGCTTTTGTTTTTCAGATGTCAGTGCATAACTAGCATTAGATTTCACAAGCTTACCATGCGTATTATATCCCATGTCTAGTTTTCTTCGGTCACAATAAATGGCTAAATCCAATCTTACTTTCCCATTGTCTTTTGTCTTATTGTCATTCATAACAGTGTGTATTATATTATCAAAGAAAATTTTCTCACAGTGCATTACATTAAGATTATGTCAAATAAGATTATCATGCCAATAAGGAAGTTCCCAAAAAATGCACCTTTTCACCCAATTATGGATGTTCCCAAAACCCTCAATTGTTTGGTTTTCAAAGGGTTTCCCAAACAACACATCAGGAAGGTTTTCAACTCGGTGACGCATTGAAACACCATCCAATTGAGGAGGGGGACTGCCTAATTCAACCCGACCCTTCAAGAAATTACTCTGATCAAATCTGAAAGAATGTGATTCTGGTAAAAACTAACGATGACAAT